TGCCTCCAGATTGATTTTGACTTGAGCATAGCCGAGCTCTGGTGGTAGAGGAAAATCACCCCATGCTTTGGTCTTGGCTGGTGGATGAAAGTATCCAGCAAAAAAGAGGTGCTTACCTTAAAAGGTATTTAATTTTAAACTGTTGGCCCCATGGCACGCCATGTTCAAGTGCCTGTCTGTCTGCACTCCTTCCTGGAGGTGTTCGGCTCCCCAAGCACTTGTGCTGGGAGGATGTTTGCGCTAGCAGTGCGCATCCCCAGCTTCTCCACGGGTTTTGTGCTGTGAGCGTACAAAATAGCACAGGCTTCCTGCTCCTCAGTTTATTTTGACAAAATAACTCTCCAGTTATTTTGACTCAAGATGAGTTTCTGCAGTCTAACTGAGATCAGGCTCTTCAAGGCTTTAGGAATACGTATTCAGTTATATTCTGCTTACCTCTTCGTTTTTCATGTTTAAACTTTTTAGAGGTATTTTTCCCTCTGTGTTCCTCTATCTTGGTGAAACTGGAGGTTTGTGTGATAGTAACCATTGATTTCTTCAGCTGAAAGTTCTTTCTTGATCACTCTCACTTCCCCTGTGCTTCTCTCCGTGTTTGCATGGCTTGCTCGCTGCTGTCTAGCGTCTGGCTGTCTTCCATCTATAGTGGGGTTGTGCCTTCCACGCTACTCATACTCTAGGTGTCTGTCGTGGTTGATAGTCCTGAAAAATGTTTCATTTCTACTTTCTGGCTACAAAAGAAACCAAAACTTGGTCTCGTGTCTGTGGGCTTGGCTGTTACTCCCAAACTGGACAACTAAGCAGTGTGCAGAATACCTTGGGTTTTCTGCAACTGGGGAAGATGCACCTTTGGAGATATCTACTGAGAAAGCTGTGCATGTTGTCAGTGTCAAGGAAGTAGTTCATGTGAAAACAAAGCCGCAAGAAGTCTGATCCACAGGGAGCTTCCTGTCCTGTGGTTTTATGGGAGACTCTTCATCTTCTGTGCCTGCTGTTCAGAGATGCTGTAGCCACAGCCAGATCTCAGCGCAACTCAGCGATCTCCTAGCCTGGTGCCCTGGAGAGGATCCACAACCGTAGAAAGTGTACTCCTGAAGGATGCAGAAGGCAGAGGCGTGACCACAAAGAGCGTTGCCTATGCCATACCCACTGCCTAATCTGAATTCTGCGCCTTGGCTTCCTCAGCCACGCTACGATGCGCCTTGGTGACTTCCTGACACTGACATCTCAGTATGAACACCTCCCGAGTTGTCAATTTGAGCATTTACAGGACAGTCACTGTTTGTTCTGAAAAGGGAATGTAAATCATGTTATGTCATCATCGCCAGGAAAACATAACTTTCTCTTCCTTGCGTTCAGTTTCAAAAGAGCCGTGGCAGCCCTTGTTATCTCATACCTGGAAGTCACGGTTTGCATAGTTTGAATTTTTAGCATGCTTATTTTCAGACTGCTATCAAATCCTCCCCAAAGACACTTTTTTTTGTTCTCTGCCTCACTATTAACACACCCTGGGACCGTCAGCAGCAGAAGCTCCTTTTAGTTGGGCGCTTGAGAGCTTGAGAATCTCTTCACAGTCCTCGGTGCAGTGTTGGCCCTAATGAAAACGTACCTTACTGCAGGGTTTTTTTACCTAAAGAGTATCTCCTGTGCATAACGACAGAGAGCTGCTGTCTCTGCCTAGGTGTGCATGCACACATGGCTTGTGGATCATTTATCCCTGTGACTGGTCTCAGCCAGGCAGCTCTTCTCTCAGTTGGGTTTCTGCCATGTGTGTCTGCAAGGGAGTTTTTCTCTCCCCAGACATTGTCATCGCTGGGACAGATTCTTATGTAAGGATAGAGAAAGCACAATAGTCATCAAGTGGGGTGTCAGTCCTGTTTTGAAGGGATATTCTTGCACACCAAGAGGGCCTAGAGCTCAGGGTGATAGATTCTCCCTTATTAGGGGATTTCTGTTCCACTGGTGGGCATCACATCCAGGGTCTGAGGATGAACAGACATCCCAATGTTTATATAAATTAAAAAAGGGGAGACAAAATCTCACCCCACCTCAGTAAGAGAATGGGTTGGCCTGTGGAATGGACACACTGATCCTCAGGCAGACTTTTTAAACAGTGCATCCCATGGGATTTCAAAACAGAATGCCAAGGTAGAGCACCCAGCTTTGTTTTGAGCCAGGTGACTCTTGTTAACTTTTAAAGGAATGTGTCTACTCCTGGTTGGTAAAATAGACACCCTGGAAGTGTTATCCAAACTTTTGCAAAATACTGCATTGGCGTGCATTGGTGCCTTTGAAATGTCCTGCAAGCCACTTTTTTTCAGCAGTTGAGTCTCTCTCCTGCTGGTTTGGACTTTGCTCTGGAGTGTGCACATGGACAGGCACTCAAAAGCAAAGCAGTGAGTGTGTTGGTAAAGAAAATGTACTGAGAGATGCAAAATAAAATGTTAGTATGTCAATTAAATTGCAAAATTTATCATCTTTCTGGCAAATTGGTGGATTCACTGAAAAGTGTTGTCCATATGCATGTTCTGGATCCTGCCACTTCCCTAAAATCTCCTGATATTTTGTGGTTGAAAGAAAACTGAGAAGCAAGAACAAACACACACCTTTTATAAATATATATATATATTTTTTTTTTTACTGGGTGCTGGGTATAAAGGAAGGGTGTATAGTCCAAGTGTTGTAAAAAGTGTATCTGAACTTGAATGCAATGTGTATGTTAACAACACATCTCAGAGAGGTAAGTTACTCTATTGTCAAGAGACAAGGAAGTACGGTCCTATTGAAGGTTACTGGTAGTTTCATGTGGTGCTTGTGTTAACAGTAGACCAAAGTTTTTGGGTTCCTTTTTGAAGGCATTACTAAATATGCAGGGAAATAGTGTTGGATATTTCATTTGCAGTTCCTCAGTGCTTACATGTCTGGTAGTTGATTTTGATGTGTCCTTCAACATACGTGTTTTTGAAGAACACCGTAAAAGTTAGGAATTTGTTCTTCCCAAGTGAGAATAATTCATGCAGGGTAGGAAAAACCTATTTCTTTCTTTATATTCTTTCCAATAGAGAGGCTGGACTTGATTCCAGAAAGAGTTTGAGGATCACTTCTCCCCAAACTGCTGTTCTTCCAGTGGTAGTAGGTGACTTGGCCACGGGCCTCTCCATCTCTTCCTCTGCATGCTTTGGACATTGAGCACAACACTCTCCTAAGGTATCCAGCTTCCAGCCCTCCTCTGTCAGCTTCCCCAAGAACATATTCTGAGAGGGATTTTACAGAATACAGATGGAAAAGCTCTTAAAGACCTGTGAGACAATCCATAAAAAGTCTACATTGGTCATGGAATTGTGGATGGAGGAGATTGTGGAGACATCTGCAAGGAGGTCCCTTGCCTTTGCTGCTACATGACTATGTGCCTGCCTCTGGACATCACAGTCTGTGTTGTGTTGTCTCCAAGTCTGAAAGAGGAAGTTTTGCTGGGAATTTTTTTTCCTGCTCCAGTTCAAAATTGAGATTTCTGGACATGGATTCACCTCTGCACCCCAGGGGTGTTTATGAAAAATTAGTTTGCATGTTCATTAAGTTCTCACTCGATTGCTTCTTGCTCTGGCCAGTCATTCTCTAAGCTGATGTGTCTGCTCTTCCAAGTCAGGCTGACTTCCTTTCCTGTTCTTGTTCTGTCAGTGTAAAACAGCAATGTAGTTCTAGTTATTTTTTGTGAATCAGTTGTTTACTATAACAGAAGGGGTCATCCTTTTCTAATCCCCTTACAGACTTCATTTAGTTTTTCTTCAGACTATATCAGGTCTATCTGCCTTGGCAAAGAAACAAAAAGTACTGCAGGAGAAAGGTCACAACATCTGTCTTAACATGGCTGGTTTGTGCTGTGGCAGAGCTAAAATATGAAATCGTGACGGCTCAGGCTTTCTCAGAATGTTTTTAGAAGAGTATAAAAAATCCATTTGAGTGGCTTCAAGTAGGGGACAGATTAGAGCTCTGCTTGTTACGAAAAAAAAAACCAAACCCAAAACAACCTCTCTGGGTGTTTTCCATGACTTCAGACTTCTTAGCAAGACCAATGACAGTTAAGTAACACTTCTTTTGTCACAGGGCTATTACTGTTGTCAGCTCTCCAAATGTCGTGTATCCCACATTAGATGAGACCTAAGCAGCAGATTTCCAAACTTAGGTGAAATCCCAGTTACAAGGAATACAGCTGTGGTACTGCTTTGCTCACACAAGCTCCAAGCTTAGGTGAGGGATTCTGACTTGCATTATAACATGCCTGCTGTGCTTAATCCCAACAATCAGGCAGTGTGTCATGAGGTTGGTCCCAGAGCTCAATCAGTTCCAAATCTGGAAAATACAACAACTGCACAAAAAAAAAAGCTAGAGCTCTTAGTGGCTTTTGAAAGAGCTAGACTCTCTTCTGTGCCAGAAATTACTCATTCAGGGGCTTTCTCATTGAACTGCATTTCCAGCTCCTAGATATTTCTGAAAGGATAGAAATGCCATGGAGCCTTCTAGTAATGGAGCCTTGAAAGCCTCTGTGTTGCTGTAGTGCGCTGTAGTCTTGGTGAAAACCAGGGATCTCGCTGTACAGGACACAGGAGAGAGAAGATGGGAGTGAAATTGTGCTTTTCTAGTGAGGGTGCATGGGGCAGTCACCTGGTTATCACGCCAACCTGCAATATTTCAGGATGCTTTGCCCTGCCCGCCCTGTTTTTTATTTTCAGCTAAGGGAATATTTTGGAAACCTACCATCCCAAAATGAGGGTGGGAGGAGAATGATGCAAAATGACCTCAGAGTTGGTCTCCAAACTGCTGCTTGTCCTGGTCAGATTAATTCTAAACTTAAAAACTTTTCAAGGTAAGAAGTAATACAGATTTAGGTATAAGAGAGCTCTAGATTTTAACGTATGTGTAAATTACTCTTCTCTCTCTGTGTTTGAAGAGGCTTTTTTTTCCTCTTACCCATCTAAATTAAATGTTATTCCTTTTTGCTGCAGCTATTCATAGTCTAAAGTTGAGTCGCAACCATGTGGACTGGCACAGTGTGGATGAAGTGTATCTTTACAGTGATGCAACAACATCTAAAATTGCAAGAACTGTTACACAAAAGTTGGGGTTTTCCAAAGGTAATATTTCTCAGAGTATGTAAAGAATATTATAAATACCGGTATTTTAAGTTTGTCACTTTAACACTAGAAGGAGATTTCAAGTTTGAAGTTTTAACATGTGACTAGCTCACTTTTGCCATTGCAGTTTTACAGAAGAGTACATTAGGGTCCTTAGGCTGTTGTACATAATTGTAAGTAGATGCAAATAGGCTATGACTTATTTTTATTGCATATTTTATTATTATTTTGGATGCAGCAGTTAACATTACATAATAAGTATAAGAAAATATTACAGTGGCAGAGTCTAGCAGCTACAATATAAGAATTACATTTCCCTTTGCAACCTTAACTTCACCGCTGTGTACTTGCATACTGTGATTCATTCCTTAAATACGTGATCATACCTTCCCCTCTCGCCAGCTCTTGGTTTTTTTCTGTTCATTAAACAGACATATGAACTGAGCGGAGGGGTGAAGCATTTAGACAGAAATTGTTTCCAGTAGGAAACCAGGCTCATTTAAGCCCAAAACTACCAGTTATAAAGCCAGCAAGGCTGAGATGGTTGGAGGAGAGGATGGTCTCTCTCAAGTAAAAGGCAGATTATTGCCAACCTATAAAACTGGAACTTGTCCCCTCTGTTGTGGTGCTCCTATGCACTGCTGGACAACTACAAAAACCAGAACATGCACATCTGTTTTGTTCCTTGGTCTCTGAGGAGACAAGATCGAGTGATAGGTTTGGCTTTAATCTCCATGCCTGTGTTCTGTAATTAATACCCTCTTACCCCACAGGGCTCTTGGGTGGATACTTAATTAATGTTTGTCAAGAATTAATATAATTCAATGCTTCAGTTCCAGAAGGAATTAAGTGTTCTGTATCCAGAACATAATTTGGATAATATGTAATAAATAATAAGCAAGATCTGTCCTAAGCAATTTGGGGGGAGAAATACCGAGTAGATGCCCACTTGATAAACAAAACCTGTCCTGTGTAAAAACTGCCCTTAGCGTTTTTGTAGTGTTTTCCTCCTCCTTAAAAACAAAACAACTTGTTTGTTTCAATTTTTGTGGCGGGGAATGGTGCTGCCTTCCTCTACCTGGCCATCTGAAGGGGTTGCTGGATTCATGCAGGACCTTGGCATGTCCTCTGTATGGGTCTGTCACTAGAGGGGGATGAAGACACGCTGTGCCAGTAGGTTTCTCAAGCCGTCGGCGCAGATAATAGCCAGATTTGCCCTGGCTGATTGGTTTTCGGTTTGGCCACTGAGCTGGAGAAGGAGTGGGAAAATTTGAGGTTGGATCAGCTTGAAATAAAACAGAGCTTTTCCCTGTCAAAATTAAAAAATGTAAAACTTTTCAACCAGCTCTCTTAATTGGATCAGAGAGAATGACACCACCAGTTTTGTGGCCAGATCATTCCCATGATCCTTCCATGCTGTGGAAGTAAGCTGGAGATGTAAGGAAGTTTAATGACTGAGACGCACAGAAAAAGTGCATTGCAAAAGTAGATGGACAATTAACGCAACTGTTTTCTAAAATGTTGTTTTTCATAACGTCTCTGAAATTAGTTATCTTTACACTGGAAATGGCCTGTTAATACATTGAGTCATACAAGTAATGTCACCTACTTGCTCAAATCTCTCAGGAGTGTAAAATTGCAAATATTTAAAAATCCATGCTATTCCTTTATGTATAATCTCGTTTTCAAAATAGTTTAATGTATCGGTCTGAGACAAGTCAAGCTTCTGTCAACATATAAGACCATTGCACTTCATAGACTGTAACTGATCTAGGATAATGTTTTTTCTACAGCTTCAAGTAGTGGGACAAGGCTACATAGAGGCTATGTAGAAGAAGCTACGTTAGAAGACAAGCCACCACAAACTAGTCACATTGTGTTTGTTGTACATGGTATTGGGCAGAAAATGGACCAAGGAAGAATCATCAAAAATACAGCTATGTGAGTGCTTCGTAATATTTGCAGTACGGACTCTAGCCTGAATATAAGGCTGATGTTATAAATGACAGCAGACCCTTTGGTTTATGCTGTATCTTTTCCTGTTGCCTTCTCCTCCTCTTCCGCCGAGTCATTAGTCTCTATATTGTGGGTACTCTACTTTCTATGTTAATTTGGATGTATGGACCTAGTCAGAGCAGCTGCAAGCCAGAAGAACAAAGAGATATTCTGTTTTCATGACCAGCATTTGCAACTTTTAGGGGACTGGCCCATGAATTACTAGCTCCTGCGGTCAGTGACTTTTCTGAGCGGGGAGAGATTTTTCATTTGGTCAAAATCGAGGTGAATCTCCATTGTTCTTACTGGTTGTCAGAATAGTGGGCAAGTGAAGTGCATACTGGTAAGAGAGGGGAAACGGGGAGCTCTAGTGGGAACGTTGGCATTCCCAACAGGACAGTTACTTAATGCAGTTGGAAGCTATTGCTGTGCGACTGCTCATGGAGTTCTGTGCACAGATACCAGTTGACAAGTAAAACGTGACTGAAGGCTTACCGGATCTTTTCATTGAATGTCTTCTGTGAAGACTGGTTTGCAAATGGCTTTTGATTTGACACCTGAGCTAACTCAGAAGGCCAGTTACGGTGCTGGTGAATGGGAAGAGAAACTCCAGAGCTATTGAGAATGCTGTACCCGGAAAGATTTTTGAGTATTAGAAGAAATTGTAAAGTTGTGATGACAGCATTGTGGGGGACAAGGTGGTGTTAAGGAATGTTTCATTAGCTGAAATAAGAGGCTAAAAAAGTGTTAATTGCAGCTCTGTATTGCACAGATGGTTTAGTATGTGTGTCCCAAATAGCTCCACATTCCATCAAAGTTGACAGAAACCGTGACATACCCAGTGACTCTTCTGAAAGTGTGTGTAGAGCTGGGATTGCTGGTTTCGTGGCAAGAGCTTTGTGAACTTCCCTTTCAATCCAGACTGGCAATGTAGGTCAGTGCTTATGCGCCGTCGCTGTGGCGTGTACCATCGTGTCAGCAGGCTCTTGTGTTCGTTCAGCTCGTTGTTCCACTCTAGTGTGGTAGAGTACACCTCTTGATTTCACTGCTGTGTCGTTTGCCATCTCAAAGCAACAGCCTTCTCCTCCCCACTCCCCTTGTCCTGGCACTCCACTGCTCTTTTTTTTTTGGTGGTGGTTAAGAGCAAGCAATCAAAACCAAAGAGAAAAGGATCCACAGCCCTCCATAAAAAGCTGAAATTAGTAACCAAAATAAATGTAAAAACTTAAATTTTTGTAGGAGGCAATTACACCGGAAATGCAAATACCCTAAATGCAAGTGCTGTTTTAACAGCGATGAGAAATAAAACTTCCACCTTGGAATCGTTAAGGTTTTCTGCTTTTTCTTTCTCCCTACCACATTTTACATTGAATATACGTACAGGGGTTGTAAGGGTGGATTAACTTCAGCTCAGGACACAGTGCATAGGCGTTCATTCCATAAGAAGTCCTGCTTTAATTGGCAGCCCGTTATCTGAAATCTTTTATCTAAAAGAGAAACGAGACTTTTTGTGCCTCAGTGAATCTTGCTTATATCCTCAAAAAATATCAGTCAGTATTGCATAGCCTTTTAAAATGCTAATTATTGGCATAAATTGTGTATTCTGTACAAAATCTGCAAATGAAAGCATCATTTTAGATTGAAGTCTCTTTTTTTTTATAGCTTAAAACTTACCAGTGAGGAAGATGCCATATGTTCTAGGAAGAGATTTTAGAAGAAATGTCTGCCAGGCCAGCACAATGGCAGCTCTCACAAGCCATACTAGCACTTTCTGTTAGCACTTTCATCCGTGATACGTGTGTGGTTGTTGGGGTTTTTTGAACATTCTTTTGCATTAGGGACACAGGGAGTCAAATGTTGCCTTTTGAAAAAGGATGAAACAGATAAAGAGAAATATTTTTGACCCTTTATGCTTTAAAGTAGAAGCTAAGGAGAAAAGAGTGCAGTGTTTTTCTCCTTTTAAACGCACATTCTTTAGTAGGAAACCTGTAGTTGCAGCCATGCTAAATCTGTAAGTTAAGCCATAGGTCTGCCCATCAGTGTTACCATTTCTCTCTTCTCTCATCGGTATCTGGGCACCACCAGCAGGTGTAGAAGGCACTTTCAGCCCTCAGAGCTCATCGTTGTCTTGGGCTGCGTGCAGCTTTGAAGGCCTTGGATGTCACCTGTGATACACATGTGCTGGGGTGGGAGCCCCGGGGCAAGTGTTGAGTGTTTCCTTTCGAAATAGAAAGTTGCTTTGGTTTAGCCCCCCCGACATCTGGCAGGACACGTTCCTCCGCAGAGAGCCACCAGTCCTCTCCGTGGACTCTGGGGAGAGAACAGAGATGAGGCAGGTTGGAAGAGGCAGTCTCCATGACGCCTTGCGTTTTTTTGGTACGGAGCTCGGAGGGAATCTGGGATCTCCAGGAGGGAATGCTTGTTCAGGATCTCCAGAAGGGAATGCCTTCCCTTTCTACCACCCACAAAAAACTGTCCTGTGCATTTTGTCTTTGCCACATACAGTTATTGTTGCTTCTTTGGGGGTTCAATCTACCCTGGGATAAAATTTTTGTATTTGTTTCAACCTGTGTGAGAGCAACACTTCAGCTCATAGCACAAAACGAAAGCCTCACTTGAACGAGTGGTCTGGAAAGAAAGGTGTAAAAATACAGCTTATAAGCCAGACATGGAATACTCTCTCTGTAACCCAGGCTGGTGAGAGACCCTACCAGAGCTCGTCTGATACGCTCTGTCCTCAGGTTGCCGCCTCGAGAAGAAATTGGTGCAGCTCACATGATGCATCTGCATCATTAGGCAGATGCTGTTGGTTACGGAGGTGAAGACAGACTTCTGCTTCCAGGGTAATTTAAAATTGTATGGACTAATTTCATTAAGGAATGGAGTTCAGTGGGATCATTAGCGTGGTTAGATGCTACGGTGGCAGGGGGTCCTGTAAGTAGGTAAATGGAAAAGGTGCGTTTTATTGATGCTTGAATGAATGGGTCTTTGGTAGATGGGACGCGATTTTATTTCTTCGCAGTGTAGTTAAACACATTTATTACCTAAATGTAGCACGGCAGCTGGTACAACAAGCTGCTCCTGTCAGTGCCATTATTAACTGCAGAACTCATCTGGGAAGAGACAGTACCTCCTCCGGGCTGGAACAGTGATTCAGCTGACCCAACGTGAACAGAATAATGTGCTGGGAGCTGCTCTGGCACCGTAGGGATGACTGGTTAAGGACGAAGATATTACATTCTGTATTCCTGTGTAATATAAACTAAGACATATGGCATAAAGAGGGGTTTTTATTTGCCATCAGATGCAGTATTCTGACATTGCTAGCTTTCTGATAAGGTACAACATTAACTTAAAAATTCATTTTGGGGTGGCCTTTTAATTTTACTGTATGCTCTTTCATACTGTTAATTGGAATTTTTTTTTCACTGAACCCTAATCTCTGATTTTGTTGAACTTGCGCTTCTAGATTATGGCGGGGGGTGGGATGGGGTTTCTTGCATATATTAGATAGAATTTAGGAATGTTACTATCATGTTTCCAACCTCATTTAAAAGAAACCCTGTTGTTTTACCTGACTTAGGTAAAGGTCAGACCTTTAGGCTGGCCCTCTAAATTTCGTCAGCTCCTGTGCTTAAAAACTGAATGGAGTAACTCTTCTGTGTATTTCCATTATAGCTGTCATGTTGTGATGCTTTTTGGCTGCTCTTAACCTAAAGCTGGTATCTGTCTGCCTCTGCCTGAATCTCCTGTTTTGATTTGAAAATTGTATTTGCCTGTGCTGCTGCTCATAGCACAAAAATTGCTGTCTGCGCAAGCAAGATCATCTTGGCGTTCCATAATCACCAATTACATTTTTATTGCAAGTCCCATTAGAAAGCATTTTAATCGTGGATTATCATTATAATAATTACTTCAAAATAGCTATTTTGGTAAATTTCCAGTGGTATGCAAGCCCTTACAGAGCGCAGAGCCTCTCGGAGGCTTTTCAGTGCATTATATATGTGCTGCTAAAATCTTAAATCAAGATCTCCTGTAAAATTTTTCCTCTAATCTTTAGCTTTTCAGATATTTGTTAGTTTTGCTTATTTTCCATTTAAATGCTTGCATTGCATTAAATACATAATATGTACTTGTTTTCCATTCTTTTGTGCCGGTAATAACTGCATGTTCTTCTGAAGTTAAGTATCCAAATAGGCTTACAGGTTTCACCTTGAGCTTGTCTTGCATGCTACGTGAGAAGTTCAGCCCAAGAGGTAAAAGGTGACGGTTAGGGCATTACGTACTTTCACAAGAGCTTGTTTTGTGTGCATTTGTTAATTATCTAACACATGACTACATATTGGACGGAAGCTAGAACAGCCTGTTTAGGACTTAGATGTATCTTTAGATCTGTTCTCACTCCCATCCTCGCCCCAGCCCTCATTTCTGCCCAGTCCTGCCCCTTCCCTGCCCACACCAGCACGACTGTCTGTAGTGTCCCGTTGTAAACTGGACCACTGCAGCTGGTCCAAAAAACTGGAACCCCATCTGGAAGATGGGAGTGAGTGGCGAGGATGCAGGGGATGACAGTGGGGACGGGGAATGCCTAATCTGCTTTATGCCAAAGCCAGCATCTCGCTAAGGGGCAACCTTGCCACCGTTTGGAACGCAGTGCTGGGGAGCGAGGCACTCGCACGTGGAGCACCTGGATCACCGTCGGCTTTTCTCAGGGATCCCGTAAGCAAATAACTGAGCAGCTTGAGTTCCTTTGATCATGCAGAGTCCTGTTATTCTGGAAAAGAATGAAGTGTGAGTTGTGATCATGCCTACTTCGGTTGCATCCTAGAATTTCCATCTTTCTTCGGAAGTAAAATGAGTCTGCATATGCCCTAGAGCCGCGGTTTTAATGTGTCCTGGTCTGAGAGCAGATGAATCCTTGAGGAACCGTGGCAGAAGATGACTTGTGTCTTGCAGTTGCTCTTTGAAATCCACCTAGAGTAAGACTAGAGTTTGCAGCTAAGCTTTTGAAAACAGCCTCCCTTTCATTTCCTCTGGCTTGAACAGTTCTCAGTTTTTATTACTGAGGGCCACTGCTCTCACTTCAACTCGCCAAATTTAGCTCAAGCCAGCCCTGAGTTTCCAACAATAACTCATGGTATTATTTTCTCACAGAGGCAGTGAGTGCTGCCCTCCATTTGAGGGAACTCCAGAGTGGTGGAAGCCGTTGGGGAATGCCTTAGAGCATAATTTACCAGTTGTGTGACCAAAATCCAGGAATGGATCCACACAGTTTTGCAGGCAGTAGCGAGAGTTTAGGTTTTTTTATGGGGACATGCTATTGCCCTATCTCTTAAATCAAGAGGTCAGAGGAAGAGGTTGGCTGGTTTACTGCTTTTTAAAAACCATTCCCTTTTTCTTGTCTGTGGATCATCTGAATGAAGAGAGTCTGCAAAGATGACTTGTGAATGAAATGACTACCATCTTCAAGCCCTCAGGCATTTTGCTCCGTTACCAGCTATCGAGGTCATTTTGTAAAATTTGTGAACTAGCTGAAAGTAACTTTTTTGTAGCTCTCCAGTTTTTAATGTAGTGTTTGTGAATGCTCCACAAGAGTAAAATTAATAGCATAAAATTAAAACAACTACAGCAATAATCATAAATATGTTAACGTATCTCAGGAATATGCTTGCTTAAGCAAGGAAGTATACCTGTGAAAGTATAGTTTCATTATTTATTATTTTAATCAGAGAAAGGCAGCCAAGGACGCTTTATTTATGGTGAGTCTCAAAGTATCTCTTTTCAGGCCATTACTTCTTGCACGGAAAATAGCAATATGTCAAAATGCTTTCTAAGGTATGTGTTGCATCTGTGCACGAGTGATTTTTTTTCTTAGAAAAATCATAAATTTTAGTTGTTACCATGTGCTTCGATGCATAGATTTAAGTAATTGTTGCTCTGGGGTCAGTATTTCAACATCCATTTGTATTGGAAAGGAGGAGAATTCTTTGCCTGTTTAGATGAGGATTTATTACTTCAGTTGGTGTTAATTTAGCAAGCGAGTAGAGGGACATGCTATCTAATAAAATAGCTCAAGCTATTTATTTTTAAAAAGCCAGGAGAAGAAAAAAAAGGACTTTATAGCAGAGCAGCTAAGCATGTGTATAGCAGGTGTATACGCTGGCGTTTTGCATGTGAGCGTAGCCACATCGCTCGGCAATTACACCACAATTTTCTTTGGAATTTATAATATCATACTGTTGATCAAAATCAGTGGGAGGTGTTGTACAGTGCCATTCACTGTAAATGAGATGTGTTGCGCTGGGAATTGTTCTGCTGGTGTGTTTTAATGCCTCCATGATTCTTGCGATCAGGAGGTTGGTGTGACATTGCTGCTGTAAAACAATGAAAGAGAGAATAATTGCACCTCTGACAGTATTTGGCTAGTGATGCTGAACTGGATTGCCTTAGAAAGTTTAGCGGAAGGCAAAAAAAAAATTAAATGTTTTCATAACTACACAGATTGTAATATCAACCAGCTTCTTAAGGTTAGTGTGCAGTGCGGCGTGTTGTAGCGGAGGTGCGCACCTGAAACGCTGAGGAGCGCAGTTGCTGCGTACTTGATTTGACGTCGGTGAGGTGGCAGTTAACAAAAATTTGGTGAAACGGACCTTTTGTGCGCTTCTCCCCTAATGTGTTCTGCAAGGCATAAAGAAGATGCCCAGAGAGTTGGGTTTTGGTTTTCTAATGTACCCGAGTGCTTTTGACTGTTTGTCTGTAATCCGTTCGAGCAGAAGTTTGGGATTATTCTGCCAGAGGCTGGCCCACGTCTGCGCAACCTCAGCTGACGTGGGGGGAACCCTCCAGATCCGAGTAAAGTTACATTTTGCGTTTCACAAAATTTTGGATAAGGCACAGCTTTTAGGCAGGGGAGACTTGACGCTTTTCCCAAAAGCTTTGGCAGGATTGCTAGGCTACACCGCTTTTTCTGAACTCGTATATCTAGCTTTAAAAAGGAGACTTTTAATTAAAAAAAACCCTCTCTGTCAGTTTGCCTGTGAATAGCTTCAGTAAGACCTGGACCCTTTGGCACAGGAACAAACCCTGTAGCTGCCATGTTTGAAGACGGGCATATCAATAGCTCTAATCGCTATTTCTTCACAATGTTTATAGCTGCTACTGATGTGTAAATACTTTGGTTCCTTCATTTAAAGTAATTGTTGCTGTGTAGAATTCTGTGCTTTATTCATACGGCGTTTCTATGCTTTTACGGCTTTTAAGCCTAGCAGCTTTAGACCGCTGCTTGGCTGGTTTCCTGCTAAACTTAGTGCTTCTGAATTCATCTTGGCTGGCCACCATCTTCCTTCATGCAAAGTTAAGCTGACTTGGCGATACCAAAGAATTGTTAGCGTTTCCAAAGAATATTCATTGAGATTTCAGGTCCCGACATTTCCTTGTGCTAGTACTCATCTGATGTTCTTCAGACAGGTGTGTTTCTCCTTTGGTTACTCGGGGACTCCAGGAATGTTAATGTATTTACTGAATTTTTATCTGCTTGATAATCTAGAAATTCCGTGTGGCTGAAGTTGAGCTCTCAAGTAAGTGTCATTAGAGGTGTGTTGTGTGGGGTGGTGAGGGTTCTTTTGTGCTTTGCAAGGCTAGGTCAGTTTGGACCTTAAATCAACCCTGATATAAGCAGATCCTCCTGCTGATTTTTTTTTTCCCCCTCATCATGGGAAAGATTCTGTTTTACTTAAACCTTTGCTGTGTCATTGGATGAGAGACCAGGAGGAGTGCAATCAAACCAGGCTTTAAAAGTAGAGTTGCTGATCAGTTGCATTACTTGGCTGTTTGGTCAGGCCATCAGTAACTGCTTTGGAAGAAAGTGTGTAAAGGACCTTTCCCCTTTTTTTCCTTTTCCCCTTTTTTTCCTTTTCCCCTTTTTTTCCTTTTCCCTTTTTTTTTTCCTTTTCCCCTTTTTTTTCCTTTTCCCCTTTTTTTCCTTTTCTCCTTTTTTTCCTTTTCCCCTTTTTTTCCCTTTTCCCCTTTTTTTCATTGTCCCTTCCCTCTAAACCATCTCATTTCTATTGAAGGAGAACAGAGAAACAATAATATATTCTAGGAAAGTGTCTCAGCTGAGGGTTTAAATGCAGTTTAACTTACTAAACTGCATTTAGACTGGTAGAAGTACAGATGGGAGATGTATGTCATCATGCCTTTGGTTGTAGCAATCACTAAAAGGAGTTTGCTTTGAAAATAGGGGGGGGAAAAACCCCAAAACCACCATGTTGAAACTCTGGGCTTTGCCTCAAATAAAAAAATCCTCTGATGCTCAGAACTGGGAACCAGCTGCTGGAAACCCAGCACTGCTGCCTCTCGGTCAGATTTAGTTTGTTGTGCTCATCTTCAAAAACGCTAATGCCATTGGGAGCCAAGATTCATGTAAAGAAAAGAAAGGAAAACGTAACAGGTTTTTTTCTCAGTTTGGCTGCTGACTGTTTTTGATCGAACGCACAGATATTTTACTAACTTGTATAATTTCATGGTGGTTTTCGCTTTTTGCTGATCAATCTTTCACGCAACACTAGTAAAACAGCTTTTTTAAAAGAATATCACATACCATTATTCCCCTTCTCCCCCAAACAACAAAGAGGGTCAGATACACTTTGTTGCTGAGGTGCTTTAACGTTTCTCACATCCCTTCAGAGAGGTGCGTCAATGTCCATATTCAGGTAGGCTTTAAAAAGGAGAAGGCTTTCAAAAGGACAGTTAGCCTGGCCATCTGCTACTGCAAGTTAAAATGCTAATGATTGATCCTGTTTCTCACTCTGAGAGCTCTCAAGCCTTCCAATTTGGTAGGTGAAATTAAAATAAAATGCTGGCTTTTCAAGCGATATTTTTGATAGTTTTCTTTGTGTGTAAAAGCACGAATTGCCTTCCTCACATACTGGTCTAAATGGTTGATTTCAGTGGATTCAGGATTTCAAGGCAGCGGTAAAATTCTGAATTTTCAGATCACATTCTACCCCAAACTCACCAGAGTTAACAGATACCTTTCAACTGAATTTAGGTGGTTTATGTTAAGCGCATAGTATAATACATTTAAAGCTTTTTAAACTCTTTTTTTTTGATCATGTAATGCACCGAATTTTTCATTATATGAGAATTTAAGTGCTTTGTAACAAAAGCATGAGATGAGATAATTACCTGTGTTAGCAAGCATGCGTGGCGTATTTGAAAAGTAGTAATGCAAGAAATGTGTTGTTGCTGGATGTATTGGCTTTATTTGATAAAAGCACCAATTCTTTACAGGAACATGTTCTTCTTTTCTTTTTTATAGGATGCGAGATACTGCAAGAAAAATAGAAGAAAAGTATTTTTCCAATCTTGCAACACATGTTGAATTTCTTCCGGTTGAATGGAGATCAAAACTTACCCTCGATGGAGGTACGTTACGTGGTTCTTTTGCTGTTTCAGTAGCTGCGGTCTGCAAAATTGTCCCCAGAAGTTTCATGCCGTGTTTTCTGCATGTGCCTTGTTTGGATTTTATCATTCTCCTGCATGTAACTCAAGTCTCTTTGGGTTTTTTTTCAGACACCGTGGACTCCATTACTCCAGATAAAGTACGAGGTTTAAGGGATATGCTGAACAGCAGCGCGATGGATATCATGTATTATACGAGTCCTCTGTACAGAGATGAAGTAAGTGTGGTTTTACCTAATTTTTACTAGAGCAGGTCGTAGAGGCTGAAACAAACTGGGCTTAGGAATGTGAGCGAAGTTTCCTTTTGAGACACCCTGCATAAAGAATACGAACACTTTGCAAGTATGTAATGGTCATCCACAGTAATCAAAATACAGAGTTTTAAGCGTGAGGTGTAGAGAAGCAGCAGACAGTACAATCAGTGTAGCTTGTTTAGAGCTGTCTAAAATGGGTTTGTATCAGCAGCTTCGAAATGGGAAGGTTTTTTACGGCGTTTCCATGCATCTGCATATTCAGAGCAATGAGAGTTCATAGAGCTGAGATTCTTCTTACCTCTTGCAAAATCCATGGACGTTTGTCATTTCACTGGTGTCAGATGGGATGACGGCATGTGTAAACGCGTTTCAGCGCGTTTGCGTGCACTCGCCTTGCAGGAAAAGCAAGGCGACGCTCGGTGACCTGTTTGTTAGAGGGCTGTTGATGTAGTGGAACACTTACCTCGCCACATCTGTATAGGCTCATGTGTGCTATAGTCTCTGTAGCTGTAGTGACCCCATTAATCAAAGGGGGAAAGCCTTGAATAAGTGATAAAGTAGCCTGTAAAATACGTGCAGTGCATTGCCCCCACAGCATCCTTTCTATGTCACACACACTGGAGAACCCCGGGGGCAATGTTTGAGGATTAGTTTCCAAAGGAGTTCCAGTTTTTTCTATATTGACTGCATTACGTGTGGAGTACTGGTAATGTTTTTGCAGCCTTGGTGCTCTGTGCTTGGTTAGGCTGGGGCAGGGAGAGGAGAGACTTTCAAAGGTTACCTGTGGATTTGATGCTATCTTTCATTAAAATGAGATATGTATAAATCCTTTAGACTGGCAATATAATTTTAAACCGTAAACTACCTAATAATACTTCTTTTCCTGATAGCAGCAATGGTGGTGAGATCGCTGTGAGCCTTTTAATCTTCCAACACCAGCAATAAGTGTGCTGAAAGCTGTACCTCTTTTGTTGCTCAGTAATGCGAAGTTCATTATTCAGAGCTCCTGGGTTCTCCACTGTGTATCAGGTTTCTCTCCCTGTTGCGGAACTGAGGCCAGCATGAACTTTTGTGGCAAGCAATGAAAACTTCTCTGGCAGCTTTGAAATAGATTTTTTTTTTTTTTTTAACTGCTTTAGAGGCTTGCCATGTCTGTGGGCATCTTATGGGAAGTGGATTAGCGAGTAAAGTTCAGGTATGCTGGCCAACAATGCATGAAAAATTTAATTCATTGCTCAGTAGAACTGTAGTTTTGCAGGTATATCACCACCCCTCAAGTACAAGAATTGACAAATAAAATGAGTGTGCTGTGGCTGTGCTTAGATTTGATTACAGAAGACTAAGTTGTTTTCATTACTGAATCAAGTAAATTTTTCTCGAAATGTTTGCAGCAAGTTGATCATTACCTTACCATACTCAGACTGCGTTGATAAACCTTTGTCCCGGGTCCAACAATCTTACAACTTCTTACAGCAAAGTTGTACAATTCAAATTGCAAGTATTTGTCCAAAAAAGAAAGTGCTATTGCAAATGAAATGTTAAAAACTTGAAGAACAGGTTTCTTAAATGCATCTTTGGTGTTGCAGTCAAAATGTTTGGGATGCAGGTTTCCTTGTTGTTCATTCAGCTACAGAGTTCATGTTCTGCCAGTAAGTTGTCCGGGATGTGACTTTGTGTTTGAGTCTGCTCGTTTGATTAGGAGTTGTGTAAAGCTCACAGTCATTAAATAGTTTTTGTATCTTTTTTTCACCTTTTATTTTGCCTTTACCTGCAGAAAGGAGACTCGTTTTGGTTTGGCGTTGGTTTGGGTTTTTTTGGTTACTCATCCTACTTTATTTCCTGTGACCTGACTTGACAGAGTTTAAACACAATAGTGTCAAGTTGAGCATTCTTCTGGAAAAACAACTGCGGTTTTTCCCATGTTAGTGTGGAGCCTGTTTGTGGCACTTTGCTCCGAGTGCTCATTCCAGCTCAGAAATAAGCCTTGTCTTCAAGTATTCACGTGATCACACGTTGCTCGAAATTAACATTCCAGCTCACCACTTCATCACGCCAACCCGATTCTTTGTATACTGTGGGCACTCTTAGTGCTTTCCATCCAGAAGTCCTAAAAATATCTCAAAAGGAGCTAATTAAACTTTGCTGTGCCCCTGTGAAATAAATTGCGCAGTGCAGCGAGTTCAGCCTAGAGAAGAGTAGAGCCGCTATTCACCGGACAACACCCAACAGTACTTTGATACGAATTTTCTTTCTGCTTCCCAGGATCTTCCCCACATCTAGAAGCAACATAACTGCTTCTTTAAAGCTTTTGACCACTCTTTAAACAACTCGTTAAAGGATTTGCAAGTGGGTAGCCACTGTCGTCGTATCAGCTTTGACATGGGATAGCAAAGGGCTGTTTCAGGTGCAGCCGGATTGCTCTGCTAAGCGTTACGGGAGCGTGGTGGATAACCCCCTCTCCGATTTCAAGTATTGCTTCTTCTGCAGCATGGTAGGAGGATATCCAAAAGGTGCCTCTGACATCTGACATGTAATGTGTGATACCAGACAGGTATTAATAATTCAGTACAGCCTTATGAACATCTTGGGCTGTCTGGTCTCAGAGTTCAGTCTGGAGGACATCTGCAGCCAACTGATTCAGTTGTGCGTTTGTGTGCAGGTCCTCAGCTGTACGGTGGTCCATGATGCGTAAAACAGAATCCCTCTTTAAGCGTTACAGACAATAAGGAGAAGCAACAAATTGTTGCTTTGATGCACATTGCCTATTTCTAAATGAACAATAATTTCACACTTTTAGTTCTGACCTTGCTAGTGCCATCTATGGTAACTTAACCTTGGGGTTTATTGTCTTCGGTGGGTGACTTCTGTGTCTTCACATCTGTGTCGCTGTAACTTCATATTTCTTTAATAATAAATGGCTGTAACAGAGATTAAAAAGACTAATTGATGCATAGTAAATCTAGTGCTGTCACCTTCATTATACTGTTATGTACTTATTTTACTATCTTCGCTGAACTTACTTCCAGACTAATTGTAATTCTGTAAATTATTGATATATGTCTCAGCAGAAAATGCCTTTAGTGCAGGATAAATATTATTTACATCCATCATCCCAAGTTCTCAAAAGATTTAGTGCAAATATTGCAGTAGCCTCTGATCAGTAGGAGATGTTTATGAATTACTTCTGCCACGGCTGAAGAGCAGGGAAATGTGGTGGGTATTGAATGTTTCTCACCAGCGGAGGAGAGGAAATGAAGAAGCCAGCATCTGGGATGTGGAGGCTGTGGGCTTGGTGTCGGAGGTACATTACAGGCTTTAGGAGGCCAGGAGGAATGCAATGTAATGCAGCCAACTCAGCATTGCTCCCTTGGGCAGGCTTCGCTGTCTACCTTGAAATGGCTTGATGGTTTGCTATTATACATGTATTAAAAAGGAGAATTAGTGACTGTACTCCTGAAATTTGGGGCAAGTATTAACTTTTACTAAAGCTTTCATCCCTCTTTAATACGAGGTTTTGCAATGGAAATGTCCTTGTCTTATGCACTCCTTTCAGCAACAAAAGGCAATTGTTTTATGTGTGTCTGAAAACAAGAGGGATGTGAAGCAAGAAACATTTAACTGCAACTATTTCAACATTGCTTTTGCTTATTCTGTTGAACCTAATAGTCTAGGAGCTGCTTGGCAGCACTTTCATGGCTTGCTTAATTCATTTGATTCTCCTTGAATGTATTCTCAACTTTATGAAGTGATAGGTTACTGAACCTAAGCTTAGTCTTGAACACAGTGGTTGGATTAGAAATGGGTTAGACTCAGCTTTTCAACAGCAAGGGGGATACTGAAAGAAGAGAGTCGGGTCTGAGCAGATCCGCAGATCCTTTTTTTGTAACGTCACTAAGACAAACAGCCATTCCTGTCTGTTCACACAGATAAGTCTCATTCTGGCCTCTCATCGGTTGTTGTGACACTCTTCCAGCATCCATCCGTGATGCCATCAGGGAGCACGGCAACTGTTGTATTCTGGAGAGTCAGCAGTCTCCCCATCTCTGAGTTGCATGCTGGCACGTTCTCCTGGTTCACGTGAAGCAAACACTCCTTGTCTTTGCTTTCACGGTCCTTTACAATCCATCCTTGAGCTCCAGATCTTTCAGTGCCTTTTAAGGACCTTCTTCTACCTCCAGTTGGATCACGCACCTTCTTATTGCCTGCTTGCTGAATTTCAAACAAGTTTGCACTTTCTCCTCAAGTTCTCTTGACATTTGGAGGGAGCTGCTTGCAAAACGTGGTGTTCCTCAGATCTCCTTAAAATTCCTTTCCCACAAAGCCTACAAAAACAGTCATGCTATTCAAGCTGGAGGGGACACAGAGGTCAGGTTTCCTGCACTCCCTTTTCATATGTTGTTTTTTTTTTCTCTTGGGCTTCAAGCTGTTCATATGAGAAGATTGTCTAGTGGGTGCGGGTCCTGTGGAAGCAGCAGAGAGAAAGTTACAGCAAGGCGGTGGTTGGAGCTGAGAGCGGTCTCGGAAGAGGACAATCAGCATAGCCCAAGAGGAGAGCAGGTGGTTTTGTTGGCTTTGACAGATCAAAGAGGTTGGGACTGGAGTGCTATATCCAAGTTTTGGCAGCAAGCAGGTCACCGAGGACTTGACTAAGAGCAGTGCAAGCTCTGCATTACTTCTGTGCTCAGGGTGCCAGCCCAGAGGTTTTGTACTCCTTGTTTTCTTGAAAAAACTAATTTCCTGGCTATTGAGGGGAAAATGTCGTTTTTTACCCTGATGTGCATTGAAAAGCCCCTTCCACCCCAGCAATATGCCTGCTAGAATGGGCAGGGAGTGCAGTTCCTCCTCCTTGGATCTCCCTGGTGTAGGTGTTTGTCCAGCCGCGCACACAGCCGACTTCCTCCTGCTTTGCAAGAAGCCGACACGCTTATTTGCACTGGTGTCTCGCAAGGCTGCTGCCGCGTCAC